GGTCCAAAGTTCTTGGCAAGAGCTCACACGTGCAGAAAGGTTTCTTCTTAACAAGTCCTTTCTTGTTGCATTGAAATATTCCTCAATTATTGTTTCTAGCTACTGTTTGAATTGGATATGCGAATAAATTAGATGCTCCATCAAGCTTTTGATATTTCTGTAAATTGTATTTTACAATGCTCAGCTGAGTTTGGTCTTTCTCGTCGTTATTTAGGTGTGTCTGCCCATGAAAGATGCAATGGACGGGGATGCAGTTCACTGGTATTTAGCTGTCATTATGCTGGATGACAAACAAGTCCATATTTTGGATTCGTATCCTTCTAAAAAGCGCCAAAGATCTCGTAGAAACGCAGTAGTAACTATGGTATGGTTTGACCTCCTGATCCGAATAATTTGTGTTTTCATCTATTTCGAATAAATTGATTACTGCTTATGCAGATCGAATTTCTTGATGGCTTGTTTGAGGATCTTTATCGGCAAGTGGAACCAACACTTGATCCACCTGTGCTGGAAAAATTTTCTTTGACAATTCCTTCAATTCCCGAACAACGTCACGAGTAAGAATTGTTCGTTGTGAATAAATTAGAAACATACTTAGATACCCACAACTCATATGCTGCATCTTATTTTATGTAGGTCTGATAGTGGCGTTTGGGTGTGCTCATGGATGATGGGTGCATCTTGGGATTGTTCTTATAATATATGGGTAAGCAAGAATTCTCCTACTTGGCCTTGAAGGAAAACAACCTTTTGAAACAGCTACTAAGCCTCATTGTCATTGTCAAACTGTTGCAGCCATGCGAAGATATAAGGAGAATGCAAATAGCTTTATATCTGGTCCAACAGCCTACAAATTACATAAGACATGTCATCATCGAGGAATCAAATAGGAATGCATCGAGATTTGTTGCCCAGACTCGTAGGTACAAGGAAGAAAGCCAAAAGAGCGTAATCCAGAACTAGAAGATTCATAGGGAGATAGTGGTTCATTTCTCCTGCACTAGTATATTCTGGATATTGGTTCCTGCAAACGTTTATGAATTTTTTGGTTGATTAGTTGTCCTGCCAGTACTCTAGTTTTGTTTCCCTTTTCATTTTCGTTGAGAACCAAAACAATACCCTTGAATTGTTTGAATTGTCTGCTTGTCTCGTTCCCTTTTCATGTTCGCTGAGAACCAAAACAATACCCTTGAACCTCTTTGACTTTCTGACGATATTTAGTTGTCCTGCTATGATTTAAAGACAAATTAGTTGTAACTGACTTTAAGTTACAGCGTCTAGTTGGAGAACATACTATATATACATTATCAATCTACCACTATCTCTACCACTATCTCGATACGCTCCAGCTCTGAGCAACTAAAAACACTTGTTATTGGGTTAAAATTTTGTTATTGAAGCTATTTGTTGGATCCAACATGGTTAGATTTGCTCCGATGAACGCATACATCTCCGGCGTCCTCCGGTGGCAAGATATGAGATATCCAAATGGCAAAGCCAAGAATTGGCGCGTGTTTTGGGACGAAATAAAGATAAACAAAAAAGCCCACTGAACAGACGAAAGGTCAAAGTCGTCTTCTTATATACAATCCCAGTCCCTTCAATCCCATAATGAAATCACGGCAGTTAAGGCTCATCCTAGGCGCCTTCTTTAAGCCTTATCTCAGATGAACAAGCATCAGGAACAAAGCGACAAAAACGAGAACCAACATTCGGATTTAACAAAAAATAAAGGTAAACACCAAAACCAATCTAAAATGAATTCAATTGGGATCAAATTGATAGTAAAACCGACCGACTACCAATAAAAGTATAAATCCGACCGACTACCAATAAAACAAAAAAAAAACTACTTTTCTAAAATGAATCAAATAAACTCCTTTGGCATTTTGAGCTGATTTTCCCCTTGAAATGTCTTTCATAAACGGCCCTTGCTTCATCAATAATTTGAGAGCGCCTTGTATTTGAGAGATCTTTGACTAAAATTATGGCCAAGGCTAGTCGACCTCTATTACTACAAACCTGCAGCAAATTTATAACATTACTCTTAACATGTTGATTTCGATTTGATAGTGTAGAATCTCACGTGGATGGAATCATATTTAGAAGGAAAGGATTGTATTATACCGCCGTATACGAATTATCATCAGCCTCTCCGTGCAACATCCACTGACAGACGTAAAACCCGCACTCATAGCTACGTGGAAAAATAGCATTTATTATTGAAAATAAGATTGTGAATCGAAATGAAATAATCAAAATACTCAAAGAAATACTAACTCATCAATTTGCTTAGAAACGTATGGAGGAATTATGATTTGGAACTTATGCACTTTGGGCACTTCATAGGTTGATGGCTTGTCTGGAAATTCTTGAAGCATCTTGTAAAAGAATTTCAACTGTAACAACAAACTTAACCACGTAACTATTACAGTACAAAATTTAAAAAAAGAAAAGAAAATTGACTTACTAAATTTACACGAAGGGAATAGTTTGATCACCCACCATTCCTTGCACCCTTTTCTTACGATTTTCCAGCAAACCCAAATCAGTACGCAAAGAGTCCTCTACATGCACTACCTTTTGGTCCATGAAAACCACAATAAGAAACCAATGGCGGTTCTCATCATTCATTGGCAAATATATCTGAAATAAATAAACAAGTAAATGATGACGAAAGAATGAATGGACTATACAGTAAAGGGCAAAACATTAAGAGAATATAGTACCCTGGAAAAATTGCTAATATTATCACACCATACCTTGGTGCATTCAAAGGTGCCGCAAAGATATAGGTTCTTATAATTTTCCACGGCTTTTTTTGGAGTCCAACCCATTTTCACAACCAAATCCTGGGTAGCAGTTCACATTCACTATTCAACTTTGGGAGAAAGAAAAAAGTAAACTTACTGTAAAGAGTTTTCCATAATTGTTGCTTACCTCAAAATTGGATGGAAGGTACCAAGGTCCATTTTTCCCCCAAGCCCTAACATCAACAGCTAATTTACAAGCTACAGCAGTCAAAATCTAAAATAAGCAAAACCAAAGATTAGTATAGCTAATATGTGGTCAAGTATGCCTTACCAAAACAGAACTACAAAATACTTACATAACCATGAAGCCACGTTTCTGGAAGCAAGTCCTTCAGTTCTAGACGACTTAAACTATGGCCAAAATTCTCAACAAGCCATTTATCATCTTTTAGACCATCACCAAAGATGAAACACGCAATGGAACGATCCTCATCATTATCTAACTCCATTATTGCAGTCACCGGAAATTCCACCTACGATTTGAATTTACCAAAACTTACAATACATAGGTACATCATAAACATTTTAAAATCACACAGGTGTAATTTCTTTAAATAAATTCTATATACCTTCCCCGATACATTTATATATTCCACAGCCGCATTTTTTGGCCTCTTGTGTGAATCATCGCCATCTGCGTCTGAGTCGGAATCTATATAAATAATTCCGTTTACGCTAGGTGTGAAAGGAACAACAGTGGGAGCTGAACTTCCAGATGCAGCCATCGGAAATTCCATCTACGATTTGAATTTAACAAAAATTACAATACATAGGTACATCATAAACACTTTAAAATGACACAAGTGCAAATTGTTTAAATAAATTCTATATACCTTCACTGACTCATTTAGATCTTCCGTGACCGCATATTTTTGCCTCTTGTGTGAACCATCGCCATCGCGATCTGAGTCTGGGTTTGAATCAATATAATAAACTCTTTTTACGGTAGGCGTGACAGGAACATCAGTGGGAGGTGAACTTCCAGATGCTTCATCAAGAATGCGTTTCGACAGCCTCTTTAGCACTTGAAATTCAGTATCAGTTTTCATTATCATTGCAGTCAAAGATTTAATCTTATCGTACAACTCATTGAACGTCGTCTCCATGGCTCCAAAGGTAGTCGTTATGGATCCAACATATTTCTTAGTATCATGCCTCGACATGCTAAACAACAAAACAAAAGAAATAACACACATGAAACAAACAAAAGTCATAAACAAACAAAAGTCAAAGCGGCTTAAGGAGCGAATAAAGAACATACATGAAAGGAAAAGGGTTGTAAGAAAGGAACAGCACAAACGACCAAAAGAAAGAGCTATTTTACACTACAGAAAATAGATCATTTATTCACGGTGAATCCCGTGTTTGAAAGTGCGTTTCCCGTGTTTAGTACTTTCAGTCACGGGAAAGTTACCGTAATATATACCTCCGTGTCTAATTGTAAAGGTCACGGGAAATTTCTACCGTAACTAGTTATAACTACTCACGGTATAATTTCCTGTGATAATATGTACGTATTACTCACGGGAATTCGGGTGACTAATGCATTAAATTGGAGCACAAAACCTAGAAAAAAAAATCATTTAAAGACGGGAAGTTCACCTTTTGACACAGTATTTACCGTAGCAAAATTGTTTACCGTGACTAGATGTCAATCACTAATGACGGTATTTACCGTAGCAAAATTGATTACCGTGACTAGATATCAATCACTAATCACGGTATTTACTGTGGCAAAATCAATTCCCGTATCTAGATGTCAATCACTAATCACGGTATTTACTGTGGTAAAATCAATTCCCGTGACTAGATCTCAATAACTAATCACGGTATTTAATACCTGTAGTGACTAGTGTTACCGTGATTAAAAATATCAATAACTAGTCATTGTATTTCCTGTGACTACATACAAACTACTGTACACGGTATTTTCTGTGCCAAATTACAAACCACTGGTCACTGTATTTTCCCAAGACTAATGACAAAGCATCGGTCACAGTATTTACAGCTGACTACATACACACCACCAATCACTCACAGTATGTTTCAGTGACTAGATACAACACAATAATTATGAAAATCAGATATATTAAAGTTTCCTGCCAACATTAATAAGTGTAAATAGAATAATATATTACCTACAAGCGATTCTATATATCTATTACAATCTACTTATATAGGTTTAGAGCTTGCTGTGTAGACCACCGTCTTCTTGGAGCTTGCTGTGAGAGAGTATCCATGAACATCACCCCAAAATCTCATCACCACCAACAAAAAGAGTAATGAATCTGAAAAGTGAAAGGAGCTATATCATTCGAACTATTTATCCTCATTCTAGTCATGCACCAATAATGAATCAGAATCATGATATGGTATCCAATAACTAGGCTATGAAGTTAGAAGAACCCTACATTCTACTATAGACATATGATTCATTGTCTAACATCTGAGCATACTAAAAGGGAAATTGCAGTAAACAAGAACAGCCAAGACTGCATACATATCCATCAATCTATCTTAGTTCACTGTAATGAGAGCTTTGATGAAGCATACTAACCCAAACAGAACAGCCAACTGCATACAAATCCATCCATTTATGTTAGTTCACTATAATGAGAGCTTTGATGAAAGATACTAACCCAAACAGAACAACCAAGACGGTATACAAAATTCATCGATCAATTTTAGTTCACTATAATAAGGGCTTTGATGAAAGATACTAACCCAAACAGAACAGTCCCTTTCCAGAATCTTCAATAATGACAACACAAAAGGAAGACAATTGAAATTGTAATGTTAGAAACAATAAGACAACAAAAATCACTTTCCAAAAGGAGAGATTCAACAAAAAATAAATAAAATAAATAAATAAAAGAGAAACCATACCAATCCATAGGCTGATCCATTTCACTTAGCAACACATCCATGGCTCGAGGTGGCACCTTTACAGCTAAGTGCCAGTTCTTATTAACATTGTCTTCTGCATAAAATACCTGGGATACTTGACTTGCAAGGACAAATGGCTCATTTGTCTTCAACATTCTATTCAGGTTGACACTCACAAACCCATGTTCATCCACTTTCAGCCCTTTTGTCTTATCATAGACATCACACCAATCACACCTAAACAAAGCTAATGATCTTCCTCCAAGAAATTTTAACTCAATGACCTCTCTTAAAACCCCATAGTAGTCTATAGCATTCAGATCAACTCCATCATCGCCAACTACAACGACTCCGTTATTTTGAGTCCTCAAATTTTTGTCATAATCCTTTGTGTGAAAACGAAAACCATTTAGGACATAACCTGTAAAACACTTACACTTTGAGCAGGTCCTCGTGATAGTGACAATAGGTCATCCAATCTCTTACTCTTGTTAGGTTCATAGGAATTTGCAACCTGCAATAAAGATTTTGACACGTTTTCAGAATATAATGTAGTAATTGACCACGACATATGAAATAAAAACTAATCCATCAACAAGAATTCCAAACTGTATGTACACTTGATCGATCAACTGCAGCATGAATTGTATTGTAATGGAATACAAAACTGTAAACTTGATCAACCCAAAGCCCAACAAGAATTCCAAACTGTACTTGCTGTTGCATCTTCTATGTATAGCAACATTAGAATGTGATTAAAGGGGAGTAATTCTATCACCATCTCTACCACTCCCTTCCCTTGGCCTCGTTTTCCAATTTCCACCACATGAAATGGAAACTAAATAATTAAGAACACTTACTCAATCGATCAGGTGTATAGTTTAAATGAAGCTATATATAAATAATTAAGAAACCAACCAGTTCCTACCCCCCCCCCCCCCAAAAAAAAGAGAGGTTTCTTTCTGATTGGGAACGCAGAGAGTGGGACAGAAAACCTAATACCTTGTTGTTCTTCCTTTTTATCTGCTAAAAAAATCGCGCGAGAGTTGGGAGCCAAAATTGCAAAAGTGGAGCCAAAATTTTTGGGTTTGGAGCCTAAAGTTTCGGTGGAGCAACTTTTCAATGGAGCCAAAAAATTTGGGCTTGGATTTTGGAGCCTAAAACGCGGGAGGAAGTTTGGCAGGAGACAATTTTCAGGCGGGATGAAGATTTGCATCGCGGGAGAGATAATTTTCAGGCGGAGGAAGTTTTGCGGCGCGGGAGGAAATTTTAGGCAAATTTTTGCGGGAGGGAATTGTCATGTGCTGGTTTATGAAGTTCCAATTACGTGTCCAATAAATTAAGCAATTTTCAAATAAGTGGTCCAATTTAGTGTCCAACAGCTTAGCATGAAGTTCTAATTAAGTGTCCCAAATTAAACGTGTCCGAATTAATAGTGCCCCAACTTACAAGTGTCACAAAATTAAAGTCCCAAGTTAACCTTTGAAGTTTCAATTAGGCAATTCAACGAGTCCAAACTTATTCGTTTTCATTCATATTATTTTTCATTTACATTTTGGAAAGATAAAATATAACATTGTTCACGGTATTTAACCGTGACTAACAACTAATCACGGTAAATAAAGATTGAAAAATTGTTAAATTAATTCCCGTGATTAGAACCATACAATTTATTACAGGATTTTTTACTGTGATCATTAGTATACATCTAAATACGGGAAAACTTACTGTGAATAAGATACCGTGACTGAAAACCAATTTTCCTGTAGTGTTAGTTGTTGCACTGTACCGAGATTTCTCCATTGCAATTAGTTTATCTCCCCGCCAGCACAGAAGAAAAGCCTTACTTTTGCTAAAGTCACCAGGGAAAACGGCAGGAGTTATTTTTTACAAGGTAAACTCTAGGCTTGGCGTCCCTTTATATAGACCGCCAAACAAACCTAATTTATTAATACCATTACGTCCAAAAAAAGAATTCCTCTATTGACACCTAAACTGATCCAACTAAGGAAAGCAAGCCTATTAACAAGGAGTAGAGATTAAATCCCCACCAATGACAAGCCTATTTACAAGCATATTCCTCTATTGCGTTTGGCTCCACCACCGAATGAGGGAGGCCATCTCCACTGGACCAAAAAAAATTTCGGCCATCACTATTTATGCCCCGAACACAGACGTAATTACACATATCACATATGCATTGGAGAGAGAGAGAGAGACAGAGGAAATGATAGACCTTCAAGATATCGAAGTCTTCTTCCATCATAACAACATCTAAATCAGAGAATGCACGAGAGGGGCCTCAGTTAAGCAAGACCCAAACATATCCCTACTGTAGCAAGATAATGTGTACAAATTATATACAAGCTTTAATGGAAGGTTTGCGAATTCAAAGTACAAAAGAGAATTTGAAGACCTACCAACGATGCTCGGCAAACGCTTAACAACACCGAGTCTCTGAATTTATCATCAATCAATCGGCATATCTAATCAAGAACCTGAAAATTATATGCAAGTTCAGCTAAGAGAAGCAAGCAAGACAAACAAAGAGGAGGCTCGACTGAAGGAAATTTCCCAAGCGAGAAGATCCAACATCACCTATTGGGCCTGGTACAAAAGGCCTGCTTAGTTTAGTTTTATGTTTTAATTTTACAAGAGCTCATTTTATAGTTATAAATAAAACAGTGGAAGTATATTGAATCAAAATCCTTGTTCAGCATGAATGGTGAAGATTGCCCATGGTAATGACCAGGACGCTGGTTCGACCCTCATACCATTACAAAAAAAATTTTGTTTTCAGCTACACCTATAGAACGACGCCGTTCTCCAGGCCACTTTCGATTCAGATACGAGCACAAAACGATGGCGTTTTTTCATGTATCGTCGTCTTCCCTAGCCCCCCAAATTCCCAATTATCTAGTTGCCGCCGTCGCCACCGTAATCCGACGGCCGTCTCTCTTCATCGTCCAAACTTTCTCACTCCGTTACGATTTTGGACTCCGACCAAGTTAATTCCCTTGACGAGACCCAATCCCCTCTCTCCATTTCAGCCTTACTCATTGTTTACAGGACGTAAAGGTCATAGTCGTTCACCGTCAATTGACGGCAGCGTACGTCAGCGTACCTACCCACCGCTATCGGCGATCCGCACTTCGGCCCACCTCTCGAGTCAGCACTCTTCACTTCTCCGATCCTTCCTCATCCGCCTCTCGAGCACAAGATTCAATCCATCATGCCTCGAACAGATCACTCTCTTAATCCATAGAGGGATTAAACATCGATGGGAAGCGCAAAATCCAATTGCTTCAATCGATAGCCAGGATGAGAGGAGAGGGTTCGTCAGCCACTACAGACAACAATTGGAAAGGGGGTTTAAGCGTTTACATGAGTGGCAAAAGGAATAAATCACCGAACTAAAATTGTAAGTAAATATAACTTAATGGATTGGAGACATAATTAGAATAAAATTTGGTACTATAATTCGAAAATATGTTGAAAAGTTTGTTTAGGGGTTAAAGGGTACGCATAAAAAAGTAATAGGACCAACTAATCATTTAAAAATTGTAAAAATTAAATAATTTAATTCCAATTAATAAACACCGTTAGATTAGATCTACGGTGTAGAAATCCTGTCACATAGTATGTGTCTGACGCATATGAGTGTAACCCATATATATATATATATATATATATGGTGCCTTCTACGGTACCCCGGATGAAAACTGGGGTACCGAATACCTTGAGTATGAAAACGCTATTTAGATCTCGAATTATCAGGATTTTCGGGCATGATACTATACCCTAACCCTTAATGAGTGAACCCTAGGTCCTAATTATCTAAATCATAAAATATAAACCCTAAGATGGTGCATTGATTTTTTTGCCTATATTTGGACGAATCATAACCGTTGATTATTGTTTCTAGTTAAATTGATCTTGGGGTATAAGATTTAGAGAATTAAGACCTAGATTTTGATCTTTATGGGTTAGAGTATATTATAATGTCCGAAAGATCAGTCAATTCAAGTTTTAGATCGCGTTTTCTTACTTAAGGTATGCGGTACCCCGGATTTCACCCGGTATGCAAGTAAGGAATTATGATTAAGCAAGATGAGATATGAATCATGTATAAGGATACCAAATAAGAGCGAGTTGGTCTCATGGTCAATTACATAGTAATTAGGGCTCCCCATGCTATTACTCCGTTATGATATGTTATGTCACACCCCTGATGTGGTGTTGACCGTTGATTGATCATGAGATATGACCACACCCAGAGTGGTGTTGAGTCCAATATGACCACACCCAGAGTGGTGTTAGGTCTGATATGACTACATCGGCAGTGGTGGGTCCGATATGACCACATCCACGAGATGTTTGGTCCGTATTCCCGGGAGAGTAATTAGCATGGGAGTAGTCAGGCGCCTATGATTAAAACATGATAAGATGCATATGCATAAAGTCAAGGTGGTTGAGTCTTTTGCCTATTGGGATGTCGGATGGCTGAGGTCTGATCCTAGTGCTTTGGCTTGTTTGCTAGATGTATGGTAGGGGTATGCTCTATTACGAACTCACGATGCTATAATTATCTCACTCAGCCATGAGCTTACCCTCTTTTATTCTTTTCCACTGCTTATGCTATGTGTAAGCAAATCATCAGCAGTAGCAGTAGCAAGTACATAAGTGTGAGCAGAGCGAGGATTTGAAGGCAGAATGAGGTATTGTCTCCAACTATTCTGTGCTTGAACGACTACTTGGGATTTTGGCCAGTGATCCACACCTTTTGTAAAAATATTTTGAGAACGTTTTTCATGTGCATACTAGCTTCTGAAGTAGTGTGAGATATCCATAGGTGTGGAAGGTTGATGATATGTGTATATTTGTGTAATTGTGTAAGTTGTGATGATTTTGGCATGTATAAGTATGGTATGCAGTTGTGGAGTATGAAAAGTGTGACTATGACTATGAAAACCAATGTATATGGTTGTGGATATATATTTATGTCTATGAATGTAGGGATTCAGATGAATTATTTTGCAGGTCTAGTTGCAAGAACTGTTAGCACATTACGCGAGTAATTCATGTCGAAATTTTATTTGGGTAAATTTTGGTAATCAATGTAACACCATCTTTAAATTCCGCTGCAATTGTATGAACAATACGATCAGGCAAAACGTACAGGGTAGGGTGTTACAACGGAGGCCTCTCAACTCTGTCTAGGTCTCGACGTCGGGTTTCAAATTTTGATGCCGTCGAATTCAGACTTGCTCCCACCACTGAGCCTTCGTGTAATTACCATTTTGAAAGAAAAGGAGGACTTTACTCTCCCAATCAAGATAGCTCGAGGCATTATTGGCGCCGACAAAGGAGGGGATCGTGAATTTCACTCCTCGGAGCTATGCCAGTGTGGGTTCTAGGGGACGTCGATCTTGATCATGTAAATCGTGGCGACGGTCACGATCGTGTTCTATGGCGATTAATCGACGCTCCAACTATTGGATTCGTTCCACCAAGAC